TATAGGGATGGTGTCATGTAGCTTTGTGCAACTTTGCTGTGTAATGACCCCTTGTTTCTTCCTTTTTGGTGCTTCAAGCCATCCCTATATCCCCCTTTCATTTTGAAGAAATGATTTTTCCACTTGTTCATATACCTAGATGCTTGCTGCTAATAATTGAGGCAAAACAGAAGAATACTTTGGCCTCAGTGGAAAAAACATTCATCTTGTGGGTCTCCTGACCAAGTGAAACTTAGCTTGCACAATATCAATGCTCTTCAAAACATAGTGTAGTACAAACTCTGTGATGCTCATAAGTCTGTACTGCTCTAAGTCTGAACCAATGGAGAGCTTGCTGTCCAGGTTTCTAATGGTGTAGGCCTGAAACCCATCTACCTCATCTGGGGAAACTTTTTTCAACATTTCTGGGGTTGCATTGTAAGAGACCTCAATGATGTGCTTAGTGCTCTCATCAATGCATTTCTCACTGACATCTCTGTAGAGCCAGTTACAAGACCTCAACTTTCTTATTGCAGTCTTGACATTGTTCACAGCCACCAAACTACGCCACACAACATTACTCTTGGTTGGCCTACCATTGACAATAATGTACAACTCTTTGGTCTGGTAGGACAGAGGTATGCTGTTGGACTTCCCAGTTGGGAAGAGCACAGGGAAACACATCACATCTAAATGCTGCTGCTTGTTGGTAATAGGGTCCTCTGTGATGCTCATAAGTCTGTACTGCTCCATGTCTGAGCCAATGGAGAGCTTGCTATCCAGGTTTCTAATGGTGTAGGCCTGAAATGCATCTACCTCATCTGGGGAAACCTTTTCAACATTTCTGTGGTTGCATTGTTAGAGACCTCAATGATGTGCTTAGTGCTCTCATCAATGCATTTCTCACTGACATCTCTGTAGAGCCAGTTACAAGACCTCAACTTTCTTATTGCAGTCTTGACATGGTTCACAGCCACCAAACTACGCCACACAACATTACTCTTGGTTGGCCTACCATTGACAATAATGTACAACTCTTTGGTCTGGTAGGACAGAGGTATGCTGTTGGACCTTGTTTAAGGTTTCTACGGTCTTGTTCAGTGGCAAGGGAAGCCTGGGGAAGGTTTGTTTCTGAGGCAGCATCTGTACCTTCATTCCGTGGCAGCCCCCATACACACTTCTTTTGCAACAACACACTCACCCCTTTCACTAACAGGGATTGGGGACTCTCTAATATGGTGATAGGCTGCCTCATAAAAGAAGGGCTCTGTACAACTAGTATGACAGCCTTTTCCAAAATCATTGCATTCTTGTAGGATAGACTTAATCAGCTTAATGCTTGTTAGCAAAAACCCTGCATGCTTCCAACGTATTTGCAAGGCTTTGAAAACTAGTATTTTAACTGCCAGTCTACTCACTGCACCAGCATGCAGGGACTTGAACTCTTCCTTGAGTTTCAACAAAGCTTCACCATCAGCTAGCAGGTTGGCTTTGACACTCCTATGATACTTTTCAATCGCCAGTTAGTTAGGCTGGGCCAAACTGTATCTACCCTTTGTCACTCTCTTTAGTTTGATGTAGCAGTGATACTTCCTGAAGTACTTTAGCCTGTCACTACGGTTTGAGGCATAATACTCACGAAACAATGCCTTCATTTTTTCAGTGTTGGTTTTATAAGCTGCCTGGGTAGCTTCACACTTCAGTCTAGGGTTTGCATTATACCGGGCTTTTGCAGCAGCCTTTCGTCTGTCTGCATGATCCCTATAAGCAGCCGAATCAGCAATTTTTTCCCTCAATGGGTGTAACTTGTACAAAGCCCTAGAAGCGGCCTTTTTCTTACCAGGATCAGCACAATATAAGGCCCTAACAGCTGCCTTTTTCTTATGGGGATCAGCATGATATGAGGCCCTAGCCACCGCTTTTATCTTATCAGGGTCTGGGGATCTACCTCTAGCCTTCAAATTCTCTGAATTTAGAAAATAATATCTGCTAAAATACTCCATCCTTTTTCGTTTCGAGCAGTATGGCATTTTAAGAACAAAATCAACTTATCTCAAACGAGGAAGCCCAGGTGGCAGTGACAACAGTCAGCAGAGCAGTAGTAGAGGGCAGTGGATGGAAGGTTTCTGATTGGAAGCACAGGCGTTTCTTCTTTGTGTCAGAAAATTACTTGTAGCTAGAGGATGAGAATATACAAAGCTTTAGGATGCAGACACGCAGTGGTTGAGTGGTTGTCACGAGATGCAGCACGAACTCCAACAAAGTGCAGCAAGGCCAGTGGGTACACCCAGGCACGAAAGGAGTGTCGAGTGCCACCTCGTAATATACAACTGAAAAGCAAAAAAGGTCATGATGAAATGCAGACAATTGGCAAAGGTTACCTTCGATAGAAAATGAGTAGCTGTGTCTCCAACTCCACAAATACAAGTTGGTAGCAGCAGGGGCCAGTAGAATACAGAGCTATAGGAGTATAATACAGGATGATACAGTACAATTTGTCATACGTAACTACACTTACCTCTGAACAAAAAGGGCGTGGCACTAAGATAAAATTAGCAGCCACGGAGGATAATACAGGCACGGAGTGCCGTAGGGAACCTATAAAGAAAATTCGCAATGTGAGCCTGATTGTGCACGCAAGTTCCTTCTTACCAACAAGACTGATAGCAGGTAGTCCAAAAAAGAAATTGGTGGTAAATAGACTCGGGAGCACAGTGGAAAACCCGGGCAAAACGTAAAGTTCACTAGCATAAACGACGAGACAAACGGAGCTGAGCGCGCAAGTGGGTGGCGTAGTTTTCTGTCTGCTGTCATTGTCGATCGCTTAAGACGATGCACATCTTCACCATCGCGGGATACGTTTAGTGAAAAATTTGGTATATAAGAATGAACTGGTTCCAGTAAGGAGATAGAGCGTCTACCGACGCTCTGATATACAGCGGAGCCAGCTTTAGATTTCGGCGCGCGTTAATTACTAATCCTAAACACATTTTTGTAGCGGCCGAAACGCCGAGATCCGTCCGCTAATCGCCGAATGCCGACAATGTAAGTTATGCGTGCGCATAACCTAAACTAGAAACTTTCATCATACAAGACAGCAGTAGGTAACTATACAGCATATTGTATAATCAAGCAATCATTGGTAACAGAATCATAGGTAACAGTATACAACAACTACACATATTCGCAGAGAGACCTTATTATGTGTACAGCAGTTATACAGTCAACTAGGTCCTTTCCACAGTACATATTTGTCAAGTTGTCATTCCTACAGATAGTTGAAAGGGTTCTAGAATATGACTTTGAAAGAATATATAGGGTCCACGTCTTATCCTCCTCCCCAATAGGCGGTGGAGGGTTCTTCATACACCAGCAGGAGTCCTCGTCAGTTGAAATATCATTCTGTTCGAGACGCTGGGTTATTCTATCTACCCACAAATTTAGGGCACTAAAATCTCCGTAGAATGTACAACTTAGGTATAAACCGCCACCACCTACCACTGCTACTCCAACTGCCACCGCAGCAAACGGATGTGCCAAAGCAATTGCCGCAATAGACCCTTTATTAGTCAGCACCATTGTGACCAATAAATTAAGGTCTTGAGCACGAGCGATGTCACTTGTCAAGACAAACACGGCTGAAACAAGCAAAACTTTCATTCTCCACTCCATAACAAAACGTTGATAGGTTTGTAGTAGTCCTGACCTGCGAAGTTACAGTGATCGTGAGCTGCCCCTCCTTTTCCTATCAAGTCGACTAAACTGACGAACTTATAATTATTCGTGGGTTTTGTAGCGCCTCGCGCAGTCTTTTCTGTAGCCACACCCCCGAGAGCGAGCGGGGCTGTAGCTATTCGCAAGGTGCTGGCCACTAAGTATATGTTATTACACCTTTTGGAGTGGTGTTGCTTGTTTATCCGCCCGACTCCACGAGGGCGGATAAACCGCAACACCGCGACAAAAGGTGTAATAAAATGCTTATTACCGTTGATTGGTCGTGGCTGGGGATACCACGCGCGATAATGGCGCATTCACCCAAATAAGGCGATGCGCGTGAACCTGCGCAAAACGTGCCGTTCTATTAAAACGCGGCTGGCCGGCTCAGCCAGGCAAAGACACGGACGACGCTGACAGATCGAGAGAGCGATCTAGGGAGCGAATGGCAGAGGCTTTCCGTTTGGAAGTCGAGGGTTGGGATTCTGAGACGTCGCGGCAAGACTCCGCGTCCGAGAGTAGCGCTCCTGGGGACGGGGCCGTCTTCATTGAAAAGGCGTAGGCTCTCGCTATCTACACAAGAAAGAGGGCTACGTGCACTACTTCACAGCTACAGAGAGGTTTGCACGTAGCCCTCTTTCTTGTCAGAGATAGCGAGAGCCTACGCCTTTTCGATGCCGGCGGCCCGTCCCCAGGAGCGCTACTCTCGGACGCGGAGTCTAGTCTTGCAGCGACGTCTCAGAATCCCAACCCTCGACTTCCAAACGGAAAGCCTCTGCCATTCGATCCATCCTCGATCTGTCAGAGTTTGTACATAAAAACATTGATACCCAACCCTAACCACAGTGGATATTCACACCATTCCTTAGTTATTTACCCTAACCACAGTGGATATTCTCACCTTTTCTATTTGTTTTGTTCTCTGACCACACTTTGTTTTCTGCACGCACTGGAAGTGGTTAAAGAAGGTTCGAGGGGTTCGATGCAGTAAAACCATTCGCGAACTAAGAGTACGAGTATCCTACCTCGTTCCCTTGCATAGTATTATGTTTCATAAAGAAGGTTCAGTACAGTCGACACACAGTGCAAAGTAGTATAAATTATAGAGCCGCTTCATTGCGTGAATCTGTCGCTGACGTATGAATGTGGGTAATTGCGGGTGGGCACTTATTAGAAGTGTAAAGTGTGCTTCAGCAGGGTGAAGGTGAGAAGAAACAATAGAAATGTTCAGCATGGTGAAGGTGAGTTGATGGAACCAGGGACAATAGAAATACAATAAAAAACAAACCACTGCTCAATGAAGAAGTCCACTAGTACACGATGATTTGCAGAGTTTATATGAAACATCACATCAACAAACACACTGTGAATAGAAAGGTAAAGGCAGAAATTATCACAGGCCTCGATCTATCATGTAGAGCAATGCATGCATATGAGTCATCATACAGTGTAACGTATGTTGTATGTTAATTGCCCTTGACAATGGGGTTTGTATTTCGAGTGTATGAAATTGGCATGGTCAGTAAGACAATTTCTGCAATAGGCCGAACGTCCATGGGTAATGAAATGAGCTGTTTTTTTTTCCCTAGGTTTGTTTTGGTTTTTGATCAACATCTGTTTGCAACGGAGTAGCAAGTTGGCACTTCTTAGGTGGTGGGGTGGGGTGTTTGGGTATTCCAAGGCAAAAGTCAGGAACCTTAATTGACCTCTGTCTTGGTTAAGGTTATTATTACTAAACCACAATGTTTTAATAATTTTTTAAAAGGGCCTTCCCCAAAGGGCAAACGACTCTGGTCAAGCCCGAAGAATACAAAGCAAAGCAAAAAACATGAATAGAAACACAGGGTTACAAGGAACACAGGCTTGTAGAGGCGCTAGTGAACGTGGGCAAAACCCAGAAGGATCATATGCGTAAACCGCGCGAACAGCGTGGCAGCATATGTGCGCGGTGTCTACGCAGGTAATACTCACCAAAATACCTTGAGGAATCCATTCTCTTGCTCTCTGGCGGTGAAAAACAACGATGTATATACAACGTTCGCAAACGGATCACACCACTGTCACGTGGCATTTAGACCGCACCCCCTAAAGTTTAGGCAATAACAATTTCCTGTAAGAGAGCTTATTTCCTGTCAAGCTGTGGCGTTACTGCGCATGCCCACAACCAATAAGGGGCGTGTGACGTGCGGTTCTTCTGCGCATACGCGCAACAATACGATGGGCGGGCTAAAGCGTCGTTACCACGCAACCAAACATCTGTTCAGAGATTGAAGCGGGGTGTGTACACTATATACTACACGTACGCAGTGTTAACCAGAGACGCGAGATGTGGAAGGATGCGCTGGGATGCGCAATCAAAAAAGTGGGCGTAAACATCGGGAAACTTGAACGCGGTATATCTTCGCGATGGAGGCTGCGATCTCGATAATTTTAGCACTAGGCATCTTGGAATAACCTGCGGAGTTGAACTAAAGCAAGTTTCCATTTTTGACCACGCCCACCTGCCTCTAAGTTCTATCTTGAGTCCTACCGTTAACCGGTACAACCGCATTTATAAAACCGTTAACCGGAGTATGTTCCGCTGAAATAATGGCATGAATCACCCCCCATAGGCCCGCCCGTCACTCTAGTAAGGCAGAGACGCGGGTAGACCGACCTCCTAGTGAAAGTAGACCGACCTCTTAGTAAAGAAGACCGACCTCTAATAGTAAAGCGAAACAGATCGACCTCTCAGCAAAGTAGACCGACCTCCTCATCGACCGCGCGTGCGTACTATTTTTGACACTGATTACACGCCATAATCTCTAGCTACAAAAGGAGGGCCTGGCTGGGGAATCAAGGAGCTCTCAGTCAAGGGACCAGGAGGTCGTGCGTTAGTTATGGCGGAGATCGATATGCCTCAAGCCGACGGTGCAGGCTCATATGATGCCGATAACACCAAGTCCGAAGATGTAGTCACTGGTAAACGGCGTCGCAAAGTATTAGTCGTGATACGGATACTAAATATCCCTCCTCCATCCGCCGTCGGTAGAACCCCCGTCGAAGCATCAGCGACATTAGAGTCTGATCCACTGACGCAATACGACCAATGCTCGGACGAGGACTCGCACGACTCAGACTGGGAGTTTCTGGAAGGCAACTGGAAGAGAGGATCCAGGCCTTGCCGCTTAACTGCTGCTCGCAAGAAACCCAAACCCAGTCCTCGGAGGATGCTAGCTAGACCAAGCCTAGACAGAAAACAGAGAAAAACCAAGGAAAATATACAGGTCAACGCAGAAGCGCGTAAAGAAAATATCGAACTGAAACTGAGGAGTAGACATGTTCAAAGACTTGGTCTTGACCTCTATTACAGAAGAACCGACGAAGAGTACACCAGAAAGACTAAGACACCAAGCAAACACAAGCAGAGACGTGACAGACAAGACCACCCTGCAGCTCTCCTCTATGAACTAAAACACGAAGACATTAGCGACCATTTATCTCGCCTCCTGGTAGAGCTCCAGCACCGTGACCTGACTCCAGAGGACTACGACACACTGCTCAAATTAGACGACAAGGTCGCTCCAAAAACTGTGCCCCCATCGGCACTCTCCTCGTTCCAGACGCTGACCCTGGAATCAACTAGTAATCTCGTCGGGGAGCTGTGCTCCATCTGTATGGAGGTGTACAGTACGTCTCAGAGCGTCAAGACCCTGCCCTGCTCCCACACCCTCCACTGCAGCTGTATTAATACATGGCTCTCTTCCGCCTCCCCCAACTGCCCCTTAGATGGCATTGCCGTACATTCATAACACCATTTTTGTTGTGCGTACTAATGACTAATGAGATGGCAAAATATTTTCCCAGCAAAACGTAAAATTCGAGCAACGGATTTAGAGAGTGGGATTATAAGTGACTGTGGCATAGGTTTGCTGATATATTATATATACCTGATCAAAAGGAAGGGAGGTGGTCATGGAGTAAAGATTAGTTACCTAGTGTCCCCAAACAATAACCAATGGATCCATTGCAAAAATCCTTTGACACTTGACCATAAGCCTTCTTTTGACTTGATGAGGGTCTGAAGTTCTTGCGAATCTTGAATGAACTTTTCCACTATTTTCTCCTTTAGTGGTGCATCCCAGTTTTTAGCCTTTCCTCGTCCAGATTCATCAGGCAAACTTGCTTTATCTGCAGAGAAAAAATCTTGCGCCGGGGACCTATTAAAACCGATTTATCAACTTACATATTGACTGATTGAAAATGAGGTGTCATATTTATCAGCTGATAGCAAAATCAACTTCTTGGCCATGCCCAGTGGAACTTTGACCTAAACACAAAACAAAGAAGTTGAGTGAAACTCCCGTCTGCGTACTGCATTACACATCAATAGTATTGATTGACCAGCAAAAGTTATAAAAGTGGGAAACCGACTGTACTTGCATACTATACCTCTTTTATGTATGCTTGGTAGTTTTCTTCCCTTCTCTGATGACACACTGCCTCCAAATCAGCCTGTTAATAAGTTGAAATCTCCCTCAGTGATTCTCTTAAATATCTGCTAATAGGTTGGCTCACTGAGATATCATTCTTGGCCTCATCGAAGGCAGCCGTGTCACCAAACGCTGCCTGTGTCTCGTCAAACACCTGAACAGCTCTTGTCTTCCCTTCATTCAGTCTATATGAATTAAAAAAATTTACAGTAGTCCAGGTTTTTTTTTCTAGGGGGACTGGACCTGGTGTCTAGTTCACTATCTTTGAGAGGCAGAGCGAGTTTAGATGAGCCAGTGCTGTGCCTAAACTCAGCCACTAGCTCCCTTGCCTGCATGAAACAGACATTTATAGCTATATAATACTACACATCTGACGGTCCACAATACCTGTGCTTGACACGAGGTCTTTATAAGTTCGTCGTTTTCCTTTCGAAACACGGCAATTCCTTCATCTATCCTGGTCTGTACAATTGCAGCGCAAGTAATGCATCTAGTAGCATACGTACATTAGTTACCTTCAAAAGACTGAGAAAAGGTTGGTAGAGTTTTTCTTCATGAGCAAAGACACTGCTCTCTTCAAACACCTTATTGTAGTACACAGTAAAATGAAATCTCAAATGTATTGGGATCCCTATAAACTAAGTACAACTGTACTTAGTGATAAGCACAGACACACAAAGGTCTTTGAGACATATATACCACTGTGGCTCTGCTGGAGGCAGTCTTGACAGTAGTCTGGAAGGCTGAAGTTGTGCGTGGTAGCCTGTTCTGGTTAGTGCACCCCTCTCGGAACTTTTCTACTCACACAACAGACAGAACACATTGACAATCAACAGGTGAATGTCTCGACTGAGTTGGCGGACTTTACCCAATGCCAGTTCATGGAGGAGTGGAGAAGTTCCTCCATTGCCACGTTGTTCTTTAGAGTGACTGCACCAAAGATGTACCGCAACCCAGTCTGTAGAATATGGAGAAGATGGAAACCTATTCGGCTAAAAGGATTATACACTGCACCTGGAGTTGAGAGAGCTGTCTCTCAAATGCAGCGTTGTCTCTCAGGTGGCCAACTTGATCTCTGACAGAGCCAGACACATATCTGACATACAGTTCTCTAAGGGAAGCTAGCCCACTCACCGGTAAGAGGTGACACAAGCCTCTCGCACCTGTTCCTGCTCTCTGACAAGGCCATGTGTCTTCATGGGCAGCACGGGCACTTGCAGCTTCTCTTCTGCCTCCAACTGCAGTCAACATATCAACTATAGGTCTCACGGCAAAGCAAATGCTAGAGCGACAACACTCAGGACAACTCTATTTTTAAAGAGCTGCCCTAAGTGGGATTATAAACCACGACAATCAGCACTCTAAGCGAATGCTCTACACCAGCTGAACTACCAGGGCAACTCAGCAGGTAGAGGCTCAAATCTACAGCACAAGACAAAGGAAAACCTCAAACAAAAGTCTCACTCAGTATATTTGTAGGAGCAGACTGGATTATACAACTAATCCACCAAAGACACCCAACTCCAAACTAAGTACATATATGCATGAAGTCGGCAAGCAAACAACACCATTTACTGTTCTGACTTTATCACTATACCTCCAATTGTCGTTGCACTTCTCCACACTTGAGCTGGATCTTCTTCTCGTTGAGGTCCCAGATCTTCTCAAACTTCTCAGTGGATGTGGTGTTGAGTCCATTCACTGCCTCTACGATTGCCTCCTCCAACCTTTGCATCACCAAAAGACACATGTGTCAACAACTAGGTAGCCAGCAAGGCAAAACAAACAAGTTAATTGACATATGTCATTCACATCACAGCAAAGTACATGGAGAGAGAGAGAGAGAGAGAGAGAGGAGAGAGAGAGAGAGAGAGAGAGGAGAGAGAGAGAGAGAGAGAGAGAGAGAGAGAGAGAGAGAAGCTGACCCAAACAGGAGCTGTTTCAGCAAGGTGGTTGCTTTATCCAGAGAGGAATAATGCCACTCCTAGAAAAAGAAGTTCAGATACTTATGTTTGTGCAAGTTGAAACTTGGTTAATGCACTAGGCTTTTTATTCAAAATGCCCAAGTTGAACCCCAGACAGACACTAGTTCTTTATTTCTCCTGGCCTGTGTAAGCTGAAGATTTAAGATTTAGATTCTTTTACCAACACAGGGTATACACAACTACCTATAGAAATACCAATGAGTGTTACTAATTGTAACACCCACCAGTAGTTCAGTCTCATTGACGGCACTGTTCTCGTAGCTACTCAGCAGCATGTGGATGTCAGACTCATAGAAGGCTGCACAGTCTTCCAGGGCACTGCTCTGGAGCTGGTCGATGAACACCTGCCACCTCCCTGGGATCTGCAGGGGAACAGCACTCACTTTCATAACACCCATGCACCCTAGTCTCGTACCCAGCCGCTCCACCCACATGGGGAAATGAGTGTCTGGTAGCTTTTGACGCAAAACCTGGTCCTAAAGACCGTAGTATCCGCACAGCTCTTCTAGTATGTGATGCATATGGGCCCCGCCTACCAAAGCCGCAGACTATGGATGCACGATACTTTGATTGGCCGTTCTGCGATCAGTCCCGTCGCACTGTGCCACGTTGCCGCATCTCCAGAGATAGAATCCATTTCTATCTTTGCGGCAGGACGCGAAGCGTCACGTTGCGACAGGGCAAATGACCCAGTCATTACACATAATGTCCGTTGGTTGTTAGAAGGGCCAACGTGTATTGAATGGAAGGTTGAAAGAGAGCTAATACCAATAGTAGCACTTGGCCCAGCCGTAACTATTATACCTCAGCTAGTGATCCCTCATTAGCTGCAGTCACCAGAATCTCCAGTAGAGTTGCCAGCTCAGGACCAGTAATAGGACGCCCTGGGAAAACACCTCCAACATCTTACACACATGAGTATCTTCTGTGACTGTACCGTTCTTCTCCTTGGGGACCAGCCCAGTCTTTAGCTTGTGTGTGAGTCTGTCTCTCTCTTCCTTGTACTCTGGTGTCAATTCCTCTTCAGTGGCCTGAGAGAGATGGGTCATAGATCTTACATGGATACAGTGGTTCACAATGTCAATACACCTTTGACAGGTCTTGAAGCAGGTGTTTCTTTGTGGCTGGCAGGAACAGAGTGTGACAGTCAACCGTGTCAAATATCCCTGCAGAGAGAGAAATCACCTCACACATAAAACTTACATGCGAGAATTTGTTCAAATCGAGAGCGAGAACTGCAGATATACTATAAGCATTGTATTTCAAATACAAATGCATGTAATGTTGGAGGAGACATACTGTGGTAGATACGTACATATAAAATTGTGCCATTCTGACCACTAGGTTAGCTTGCTGCAACTTACTAATAATCCTCTAGCTGAACATCTAAGTATAATTTGTACCTAAGAGGTTGATGTCATAGTCTCCCTCCTCTCTACTGCTGGTCTCCATGATCTGGTGGAGCCACTCTGTGGGACTCTCTTCATCTGCTGTCTGCTGCACAAAGTCCTGCACCACCTAAGACAGGTGGACGCTACATTGTAGCACTGCAATATCTAGGGTTGGTTTTTCCCTCTACCAGCTTGCTAAAAGTACAAAGGCTTTTCAAAAAATCACCCTTCAGGACAACTATAACTGATAATTCTTCAATGCACTCTCCAGGTAATATTAAAGGTATTGAGGATGGTTAGTTGGTCTAAGCTCTCTCCACTTACTTGCTAAAATTACGAAAATTTAGGCCACCTAAAAATTATGCTACCTACTGTATATAAGGGAGTGAGAAAACCAACTGCTTGATGTAGCCCTTCACCTAGTAGTTCACACCGGGCTTTCAGTACTCATATTCATGCGACAATCATTACGCTGAGAGTTTAGAAATTCGTATATATGTACCTACCCAGACCAGCGGAGGGAACCGGAGAAGGTCATGATTGAACTCTTCAAACCACTTTGACTTTGTCATCTGAGATCTCAGAGCAAACAGCTACGAAACAGAGAGCATCACTGCATACTCTTTCACAGTTCAGCCTGTTACGATACCTGTGTTCTCCTGGCCAACAGCTCCAGGTAGTCAATGTCTCCTTGATCAATGATCTACACAGACATTCACAGCCACGTTGCTACACACTGATATAATAAAGAGAAGGCTATAGAAGGCCGGACAACCTTGACTGAGTTATAGATGAGGTAAGAGCTCAGCAGAGTTGCCACGGAGAATATCTTGGCATCGTAGGTCTCCGATATATTGCTAGCAGCAAACCCTGGGCAAATTGAAGAAAACCCCATAATACTATTAGATCTCTATGCAAACCAAATTCTGTAAGTAGTTCCCAACCTTCAGTGTCAAGGAAAATGACAGACAGCGGTTCTCCTGATGGAAGCTTTGCCATCATTGGCTAGAAGAGAAAAGTGAGACAATTTTCTCAGACTTTCCTTGGCACCAGAAAATATGGTCCACCTGGACTAAAATTGTTTGTCTACGTACTTCAGGAATCTATCATTTAAAAGTGTAGTTGCAAGCCTGCTAATAGGCAAGCGAACACCCGATACTAGTCCAAAGACAAATATTTCGGGACAGAAATTTCCGTGACATGCCCACCTTCCCCCACATCCAGATGCCCATGGTGTGAGGTCTGACAGACGGCCCGACTCCAAACCCCTCCTGCTTCCCCATGAGCTGGTTGAGGAGGAAAGACTTTCCCGAGTGGAACTTTCCGACCACGGCCACCACGGCGACCGCGGTGTGGATGTGGTGGAGGAGGCGGACGTTGCTGCTGATGATCTCCAGGTGTCGATGGTGGTTGGGGTCAGGGGTGGATGAGCTGGACCGGCCGCTCAGGGAGCAGGGCTGGCAGCAGGAGAAATCAATACATTGGTGAAAATAACAGCCACTACGTAAAAAAACACGTCAACTACGCTTTCACAAGCGTAGCGAACCTGTTATGTTATCGTTTACTTACGTGTACCACACCATATCGTATGGAAATTGACAACATTTTTAGTTTAGTTCGAGCTGAGTAATGTGATATTATGGCTTGGACTTGAGGAAAAGGACACCGTTATTAAGCGCACACTGGCAGTTAAAGCACTACACTCAAATCAATTATTGCTACCGCAAAATGTGAGTCTTACTCAGTTCCTCGTTGGAAAAAGACGGCATCTCGTCAGCCGGAGGTGAAGGAAGGGTGGGTAGGTGGTGGACTGGTGTCTGGGGAACCCACTACTCTAGAGGTATCTGTTTCAGCTGCTGTGCAAAGTCCCAGCAACAGGCCTGGAGACAACACAGAAACCTCAGGCCATGGTGGGCTCTTCTTGGAAATAATTATGCAGCTCTATAGCTGACTTCATCACGCTTGAACTGGCCAGCATGCACGAAGGAGATACTGTGTTTGACTACTACAACATTCTACAACATTACCTGTGTAGTAAAGAAGAGCCAAGTCCATATTGGTGCCTGCGATGCATGCAGTGGCATGCACAAACGAACGCAATCCTGCGCGCGCACTTGGCGGGAATTTTTCAAAGTCCCACATCATTGGACAAGGAAATGGTATATACAAAAAGAGTTTAGTTAGTATCCAGCGTTACTACACGTGATTTCACAGTCTGGATAGTGTTTGCTGAGAATTTCTCTTGTCAGCTTGTGATCTGCCTGGCCAAAACCCTGCAGTGACAGAAACACAGTACAGTCCCAGGGTGGAGAGAAATAGGACTCTGTCTTCAAGTCAACTTACTACAGAGTAGCCGTATATCTTGATGAGTTTGTCCCTGCTATTATGGTCAATCCTCCCTCCCCCAAGACATTCATAGGTAAGACCGAGTCTGTGGAACTTGGGAGACACACGGTCCAGAATGTCAGCTGTCAGTTACACACACACAGAAAGAGCATAATGATACTTCAGCATTGTTCTACAGGTGAGACTGTGATAGTGTAGAAATAATTTGCATACTTTCAGTTACTCCTACTAGTGGGTTGTCTCTTGCATTCCAGTACTATAAATAACCTTAGACCTCTGACACCACACATTGGTGACATTGCCTCATATCAGATATCCACTGAGTAGGTCAATCAGACTAGCTAGCTACACACACCACCCTGGACAAGTCTTCATGCAGACACTACCGCCAGTGGCGCGGCCCTCACCGTGGTAGTCGGCCCACGAGTACCCGCGGACCACCATCTTGGAGGCGCTGCTCTTCTTGTCTGACACTTTGATCAAGATGTACTTGTACACGCCGTCAGACTCTATGTCCACGTCTGCTACCTGATCCATGATCCCTGTTATATACGAGTGTAGCAGGACAAGCTGTCGGACAAGCTTTAGCAGGGAGGGCGGAGGCTAGGGAGTTTTTTTTGCAGACGTCAGCACTACAAACTACTGAGTCAGCAGACGCTCTCGAGTGCGCTCTTATTAGAACTCTTGCCGTCGCGTGTGGACTCACTGTTCTCTGTAAGTCTATATAGCAGAGTATATACACTCTTCCTGAGCAAATGTAGCTCCATGTCTTCATCAACAGCGTCCAGTGTCGTTGGCATGGACCAGACCGAGTTATTCAAAGCGACTGTGCGGACGTTGAAGCTGAGGCGAAAAAAGCAGGGAGCCGCCGCCCTTTCCCCCGGTCCCTCCTCCTCCCCCAGTCACCAGCGGACTCCCTCTGAGTTTGCAACTCTTGCCAGAGATGTAGTGAGTCATCTGCACCCACCACCCATAGTTCCCCTACTCGTTGGTGGCCTAATGACGTGTGTGCAGGTGGCATTCATCAGTAAACTTCAGGCGTTCCTACTCAAGCACAGGAAGAACTATATCGACTCAGCCAGGTAGGGTAGTACATGTCACTTCCATTGCTAATGTTCAGATGGCAGTGCCAACTATGTAGACTCCTAATATGCATGCATATCTGAAAGGACTCAAGTTGCTTCCCTATACCCTGTGTATATACTAGTGCTCTTCTGTGCCCTGTAGACATCTTCTAGGAGGAGGGTCAGCCATGAGTGACAGTGAGAGAGATGCCATTGACTCAGAGGCACAGAAGTTCATTGAAGGATCTCTAGACAGAATCAACTCCCTGAGAACACGCTGTGAGTATATAGTGTATTGAATGGCTGTGAGTGTGTGTGTGTGTCTCTGCAGTGAATGATAATGTGACAGGAGCGCAGATGAGTCAGTACAGACAGTCTGTGTTCGAGAGTCTACAAGACTACCTGAAGAGTAAGAGGATGCTGGGTGTATTTTTGTACAGTGGAACTCCTCTAATCCAGACACCAAAGTGTCCGTATTAGTGAGCATGCAAGAACTGTCCTCGGGGAAAAGAAAGTTCTCATTGATAAAGGGTGTCGTCATTGTTCATGCATGAGTGTCCTTAGAGAGGAGTTCCACTGCAGTTGTTATGGCTATTGATTCATGCAATATTATTACAAACCCTGCAGCCGGAATGTGCATGTGTCATCATCGTCTTATGTAATCTATTCCCCTGACAGAAGTGGCTAATCTATACAGCGAACAGAGGGCTATAAGAATCAAAAGGATTGTCGACAGAAAAAGAACGTATGCACTCCTACACTCAAGAACAATTCCGTCTAAATAAACTACGTTTGTCCAGCTCTAGACTCCAGCCTGAGAAGTACAGGAGGTTACTGGGCTCTACTGGTTGTGGTAGGACTAGTCGAAGTAGCTTCGAAACCAGCTCTGGCCTCAGGACAATTGATAGGGAGCCTTCTCCCGCCCAGCATCAGCTGCCCGACAATGACGATTGTGACAGTAGTGATCCTGGTGAGGGTGGGAGGGAGGAGAGGGGAGTGAGGGGCGAGGATGGGAGTTCTGGGACTACACTGAGGAACAGATGGAGAAGAAGAGGGACTGGGGGAGGGGGGAGAGAAACGAGTGAGTCCTGTCTGGCACAGTATTATTACTGACCGTAAAGCATGTGTTTCTTTCAGGTGGGAATCTAGCCACATCATCTCAGTTTTCCCAAGACTCACATCTCACTGAAAAAGAAAGGACAGAGGTAAAACCACTTACAAAAGCTTGTTGTTTCGAGAATATAACTAACCTCTCTACTTTGTTCAGTTAACCAATAACAGTGTGGGTTACTGCATGCCAGCCAAGAATCTTTTCAGGCAGGGGGTGCAAATAAGATTCAGGTGTTCAATAAGGTATTTCAGTCACGTTTTTCTAACATGAACATGCTGGGCCATGCGTGCTTTGCTTGCCACCTGCATTTACACTGCTGATTTGGTGGTTTATTATTAGTCTTGCAGGCTCCAAGTAATTCTGTAGTAATCGAACCATGTTTTTATGTTGGAAATGATGACTGGAAAATCGGATTGTACACTAGAATATTTGAAAGTGCACGACGGCCTTACATTAAAACAACTGTAGTGTTTGCTGTGTGTGTGAGTGGTATGTGTGTGTGTTGTGTGTGTGTGATTGCTATAGTTTGCGGAGGAGAATGAGCAGCTACTGGAGCATGTGACCACGATGGTAGACGAAGTACGACAGATCGAGGGGAGGGTCATCGAGATATCCAAGCTCCAAGGACTATTCTCTCAAAAGGTTTTACAGCAGGTGAGCTACAACAACTGTGAAATAGTTAGCATTTTTCGATGGCGCCGACCCAATGGAGGGAGTGGGTGGTAATAATGTGCTGTAGATAGCAGGGAGGCAGCTATTGGATGGCTAATTGTGCTTGAGCATCCCATAACTCTGGCCTTAGTCAGTATTCATGCTTCGTAGGATGTTGTGTGTGCATAAGATTGCGCATTTCACAAATAGCCTTCAGATAGCTATGTACTTGCCGATTGCAGATTTTTATGCGGCTTAATTCAATGCAGAGCCCACACTGGCATTGGTGTGTATTATAGCAGCATGTCAACAACTTGGTAACGACATAGAAAGGCAAGGCAAAGCAAACAAGTTAACTACACCTAGGATAGTTCTAGGTGGAATTCGAACCCACGACACTCTCCAGTCTAGGCAAGTGCTCTACCAACTGAGATACAAGGGCAACTCAGCTGATAGGGGTTCAAATCTACAGCACAATATTATAGCAGCATGACTGCCTCTTGATAAAACTGTTTTCATAAGTTCTATACTTATACCTCCCTTGATTATTCTGTGTGCTATTCCCCTCTGTGATTGCACTTTCTAAGATCCCTGATGTTTTTCGTGCAGGCAGAGCAGTTGGAGAGTATATCCAGGACAACAGTGGAGGCTGCTGAGAATGTCAGCGAGGGAAACGAGCAGATCAAAGGAGTGAGTTACCCCTGCAATATACTCTATCATTGTATTTTTGAGCTTACATTATAACGTATTATGCAGGCCATCAAGAACAAAGCAAGTCTGAGAGTTTGGATCCTGTTCATTCTCATTCTACTCTCTTTTGCCATTCTGTTCCTGGACTGGTATAGCTGAAGACTGTTTGTCAATCATGTGTTTTTTTGTTTTGGAAGCCAATCATCATTGGTTTTGTAGTACCGTACTTGATTTTTTGGCAGAATTTTTCGCTCTTGACTGAGAAAAATGGCGAGGAAAACAGTGAAAACAAATTTTCCAAGCTCAGTTATAAAAAACCTTTAGTGAGAAGGAAGAAGCAAAGCAAAAAAGGTCCGGTATAGGGAAGCTAGCTGGCTTGCGTGACTTTTATCAAGACAGGAATGTTAGATTTTGTTCACCTGCGTGTGGTGACTGATGAGGTGGGGTGACTTAGGCAGAGGCGTGTATTCCCACAGCTTATTTGGTAGAAATAACACCTCACATTCCTGTCTCATAAAAAGTCAGCGCTCTCAGTTCTCGGAGAAAGGAAGGCTGCAGAGTAGAACGATGGCTCTTTTTCTCTTTATTGCTCTGCTGGCTGCAGTAGACGGCCAGATTATGCTACAGTTGAAGCACGATGGACTCAATCTGTCGAACAACTCCTTTATTTACTCCCGTGATATTGGTCTTAGTTTTAACAGATCTTTGATGTGTGTGAGTGGAGGTGATAATTTTGTTGATGGAGGCTGGAAAGATCCCATGGGCAACAGTGAAGATAACCGGGTTAGTGGTGATTGCCTGTTCTCTAAAAAACATACTGATCGAAGAAGAGTGACCACTCTACACCGCGAGAGGAGCTGTACTGACCACAAACTACCAGGACTGTGGAGATGTGATGCATTTGATTCCAGTCGAAAGATGCAAACTCTCTACATCTTTATTGGTGGTAGAAGGTATCCACCAGATGGTAAGTGTATCTACACAGTGCAATCTCCGAAGAGGACCCTGACAGTTGGCTCTGTCTATATAATGCTACTTCTGTCCTTTATTCCATACACAATAAAATACAGGACAACTGAACAAGTCAGTGCCTATGAACTTCACTCTACACACTGAGGCCAATGCAAGTGTTCCTGAATTCACTATCTCCTGCCGTACTCATGGAGGACCTGCCACAAACGTCACGTGGACAGAAAATGGAACTTTAGTACATAAAGACAGATATCATGAGACCAGTAAGCTCATACTGGACACATCTAACTCTGTCTATGACAACAGATTGAGAGTGAGCGGAGTAAGAAATGGAGAATATAATTGTTCAATCGAGAGCAATATCAGACATTACCTACCCGGTGTAAAACCTCTTACATTAAAGAACTCTACCACTATCAATGGTAATGCCTATCTTTCACTTTGACACTTAATCCATCATTCAAACACAGTTGCAGAAGAGTCCACTAGAATGGCTACTCGACGTAAGTCACTTAACTATCCTTTCAGCATCGTCTGTCTACAACTATTTTTACCTCTTGCAGGAAGTATTGTCACTCGCTCTGAGAATAGGCCATCTAAATTGACAGAAGAAGACACTACTGCCAACCTTGACTATGATGACGTCAGTGAGACACTTCACACATCATCATCTTGCCAGGGTAAGTTCCTGTAAACTGTCTGTAGCCCACATAGTGCCCTGTTGATTTAGATAAGGAAGAAGGTGACAACAGTGCAGCAATAGCTGGAGGTGTGGGTGGAGTGATGTTTCTGATCATTGTGGGCCAGTCTGTGGCCATTGTCGTCCTTCTCCTGAGGCAGAGAACTATCAACCGAGTCAGGTATACTAAACTTAGTTGTGCGGATAAGCATTTGTCTGGGAGCTGTAGCTCAGTGCACAGTGAGCTGAGTTCCCAATCACTATGCCTGACTGATGCCGAAGCTTGTTTTTACTGTGTGTGACAATTAGCTTCATTGGACACTTTCTCCACGGTGAACAGCCCGTATTATCTGCACTATTACAACGCAGGGTGTCTTGTAAGAAGCCTGAGACCTGGAGCAAGTCAGCCATTACAATGAGAGTGGATCCAGAACATGATAAGATGATTGACCTGCAGAAAACTGGTGCACACCAGTGAGGCTCTTTGGAACACAAACTGCGATAATTATACCCCAAAATGACAACTTAATCTGCATATATAATAGATAATGCGATTTGACGGTGTTCGTGATTGTACAAGTGTATCATTATTTTATATTACTTGTGTAGCATGTCCAGGAGAAAATTATGTTAGTAATAATTATGTTATGAATGTTAGTACAGCACTTTAAAAATACTATTACTAACTGCGCCAAATACAGTAGAACAAAAGTAAGAGTGTGCATGGTCTCATCCACACTGCATTTATGAGCAAATGTTATCTTGCTACATGCCAAGGCATAATTGGGTCAAGTGAGGGGAGTCAAGTTTCTGCTGAATAATTGGCTCAATTAGGGGAGTCACACTTCGGCTGAATTAAGTTAGGGTTAGGGGAGTCACATGGCAGTGCAGCAACAGTAGGAGATGTATACTTGGAAATATGGGTAAAGTTATCCACTATCACTCAGTGTGTGGCCATTGGTATCCTCCTGAGACAGAGATATCATATCCAGGGACTGGGATGGGATTATCCAGAGAGCGTTAACACACGTCTCTCTGTCTGGAATACTTCGAGTACTGTGCAGTAGTGGGAGTGTGGAATAGCAGCAATACCTCACAACTTTTGCATTCTTGTTGTTTGGATGTCAGTCACCCTCCCTCTCTCAGAGTATTGAAGAGGATTAGTGATGCTGACTCAACTATAAAATCTGTGATTGAATTCCACTGTAAACTATTGCGGTGTTGGAAACAGGGGTGTCTCAAATTATCAGTGTTGGACACTGTTTAAAGGGTATGGGACTAGTCTTGAAAAAACTATTGAGGTTAAGTCACATGTGCTGAGAGGATTGCATACCGTAGCAGCAGGAGGTGTAGGTGGAGTGATCATTGTCACCCATTGCATAATCCAACCAAAGATGACTGTCAGTGTTAAATAATCAGAGCGTCGGTAGACGCTCTATATAGGGATGACACGAGTGAAATCTCACGTGATCCACGTACAAAACGCCTCATAACTCAGCGACAATGACTCACCATGAACAAACCAAACTTTACGCTACACACTGAGCCCAATGCAAGTGTTCCTGAATTCACTATATCCTGCCGTACTCATAGAGGACCTGCCACAACTGTCACATGGAGGCTAAATGATACTGTGTTACATAACAGCAGTGCTCATGAGATCAGTGAGTTCATAAATGACACTTATACAGCTACGATTGAGTACACATTGCGAGTGAGAGGCAGAGAGACCAAGGGGGAGTACAATTGTTCAATCTGGAACAACATTAGATATTACTTACCACGTGCAAAATCCAACGTGAGTGACACTATAACTGTCAGAGGTAAGATAACCTTGTCATACTCGGTGCAACAAAACCAGTTTATTTTCAAAACAGTTGCAGGAGAGCCTACTGATGTTGAAGCGACAATCTCTCAGCATAACAATACACATGTCAATATCACTGTGTCCTGGAATCCACCAGCTGAAGATTTCACTAGCTATGTTATCTACTACCACTCAAAGGAAGGGCCAGTCACCAGTGTCGAGGTGCCTAAAACCAAGACAAATCAACAGCTGAATGGTCTCCCAAGAAGTGATATTTACAACATTTCCATGGTGGGTCTTCTGACAGATAATCTACCTAGTCGTCTGGTTGTAGCTAATGGTAAGTCGCTGAAGTATGATGTTCTTTTTCCAGCCATCATATTCTTATGTCACTCTCTAGGAGATGATTGACCGGCAGAAAAGTGGTGCACACCAGTAAGGCTTTTGGGAACACAAGCTGCTATAATTATACCCCAAAATGACCACTTAATCTGCATAATTATATAATAGATAATAATGGAATTTGACGGTGTTTGTGATTGTACAAGTGTATACTTTTTTCATTACTTGTGTAGCATGTCCACGGAAAATCTGATAGTACAGCACTTAGCGGTAACTAGGTAATTATGTCAAATACAGTAGAACAAAACTAAGTGGGCATGCATGGTCTCATCCACACTGCATTTATGAGCGAATGTTATCTTGCTACATGCCAAGGCATAATTGGGTCAAGTGAGGGGAGTCAAGTTTCTGCTGAATAATTGGCTCAATTAGGGGAGTCATGTTTCGGCTGAATTAAGTTAGGGATTAGGGGAGTCACATGGCAGTGCAGCAATAGCAGGAGTCAAGATGTGGGTGAAGTGATCCATTATTACTCAGTGTGTGGCCATTGGTATATATCCTCCTGAGACAGAGATATCATATCAACAGGGACTGTGATGGAATATCGGCATACATCTCTCTGTCTGGAATACTTCGAGTACTGTACAGTAGTGGGAGTGTGGAATAGCAACAATACCTCACAACTTTTGCATTGTTGTTGTTTGGCTGTCAGTCACCCTCCCTCTCTCAGAGTATAGAAGAGGATTAGTGACGCTGACTCAACTCTAAAGTCTGTGATTAGAATTCCACTGTAAACTGTACTTGGAAATAGGGGTGTCTTAAAATTTTATCAGTGTTGGACTCTGTTTAAAGGCTATGGCACAAGTCTTGACACAAAAATTGGTGATGCGCTGAGAGGATTGCATGCCGTAGCAGCAGGAGGTGTAAGTGGAGTGATCATGGTCACCCATTGCATAATCCAACTAAAGATGACTGCCAGTGTCAATAATTAACAC